GATATAAATGTAAATATATAAAAATAGTGTACTTACATGTAAGGTATACCTCTAGTGACTTCCTAAGCATTTTAAATCAAATATTAAATAAAAGAAGGTACAATTATGTCTGCATTTGTAATGCTCTCATTCAGAGAACACAGGGACATATGTTAAAGATTTTAGCTGGGGTTGTGGCTCAGTAGTTGAGTGCTTCCCTATCTTGTGTGAGGCACTGGGTTCGATTCTCAGCATTACATATAAATAAGTAAAATAAAAGGTCCATTGATGACTAAAAGTAAAAATAAATTTAAAAAAGATTTTATTTAGCTCATTAGTTACAAGGAAACCAGTAAGATGAACCAATCAGTTCAAAGGAGAGTTTCAAGTACCATGCATACTGGTTGACAAGGAATGACAAAATGAGTTTACAAAGAGACACAACTTCATCAATAACTAATTATTGTATCTCACAGGCACAATAATTTGCATTTCTGTGGACAAAAATCATTTTGCATTGCCACCAGTTTTGCTCAACTATTCTGAAGTCCCTCAAACAGTGAAAGCAGGTTGACCTTGATGGATGCACTATAGTGGGTGCTTAATGACCTTTTTTCCCATTCAAGACTTTTACAGTTTTTCTTTTCTTTTCTTTCTTTTCTTTTTTTTTTTTTGTACCAGCGATTAAATTTAGGGCCATCAAACCACCACTGAGCCACATCCCCAATCCTTTTATTTTTATTTTTATTTTTTTATTTTGAGACAGGTTCTCACTAAGTTGCCTACGGCCTTGCTAGGTTGCTAAAACTGGTCTTGAACTTTGATTCTCCTGCCTCATCCTCCTGAGTCACTGGGATTGTAGGCATGTGCCACCACACCTGGATATAATTATTATTGACTTAATTTCAACAACTATCTCCTGATTCTTTGAGAATATTTATTTTTATTAGATTTAGTGAAGCAAGTAAATATTCCCTTTGAAGACTGAACCTTATAAACTGCATTTTGAATCCCATGGGTAAAGACTTTGGGCATGTATGTCTGATCATTAAATTCAAGGTGCTACTTTAAGCACATTATCAGAATTTATTAAGTGACTCCTTAGAAGGAGTAATATTTTTCACCTGTGTGCTCTGGTCAAAATAAATGAAATTCTTTCATTAAAGAAAGGTGGCTAATTTTTCCTTTTGCCTGTGATATATCAACATGTAAATACTGCTCTCGCTGGACTGATTCAGTGGTCTGAAAAATTGTTTTCAAGTGTTTACAAAGTTTATAATTCATCATTGCCTTTCACCGACCTTCCCTCCAGGTGCTGGGCTCAATGACAGGCAATGGCACTCTGTGTCCCTGTCTGCCAAATGGAACCACCTGAGTGTGGTGGTGGACAGTGACATGGCTCTCCAGCCGCTGGTGAAGGGGCTGATGGATTCCAGCAACACTTATTATTTTGGAGGTAAGTGAAGGCAGGTCAACTACAGGGAACAGTGGAACCATCTTTATCTTTACTGCCCTGCCTACATCCAGGGTCTCTTGTCAATTTAAATCAGTTCATATTAAGAAATGATCTCTCTCCTTCTATAACATATCTAAAAAGTTTAATTTTTTAATCTTACTGATACAAAAATCAATCCTTCCAGTAATTTTACTTACTGTTTCAATGACCTCATAATTTCACATAATGTTAAAAGAAAATACATGCTAGCTACACACATTAAACTGGAAACAAGTGGAATTTTTTCAGACAGCAAATGTCATAAGCAAATTCTCTACAACAGATGATTTTAGACTTCTAACAGCTTTTAAAAATCAAATAAATCAGGCTGGAGTGTGGCTCAGTGGTAGAGCGCTCAGCTAGCATGTGCAAGGCCCTGGTTTCTATCCTCAGCACCACATAAAAGTAAATAAATAAAATAAAAGTATTGTGTCCAACTACAACTAAAAAATAAATATTAAAAAATCAAGTAAATCATATTGACCAAAGTCATTGGCTTACTTAAAATCTTATGATACATATACTTCAACTCATATTATTTAATCATTTTTACAGCTCAGTTTATAAATGGATAAATAGATATTTTTAATATGAAGGGAGTAATAGGAAGTATAAAATAAAGTGTAAAGAATTTTTTGAACATCAGAAATAATAAATAAAAATGAATAAATAGGACACAAGTATACTAAATGTAGCCATAGTGCAATTGGTGCAAAGGGCCAGATATTTATATCCTCCCTAAATCCATATGGTAAAATCTTAACTTTGGGAGGATAATTAAGTCATAAAGATGGAACCTCAAGAATGGGATTGGGATCCCTCATAAAAGGACCCAGAAACTTCTCTAGCCCTCTTTCAGCTCTGTGAGGACCCATCAGGAGGGTGGCTACCTGTGAACCAGAAAGCAGGCCCTCTGCACACCACGTCTCCCATCGCCCTCATCTTGGACTTGCCCCTCTCCAGAACTGTGGGAGGTTAAATAGCCTCAGTTGGTGGTGTTCAGTGTCTCCATCTGAACTCATTTAGGCATCCGATGGACAGCACAGATCTATTATTCGGAAATAAAGTTTGCTTTTTTATAAAATGTTTTTTTATTAAAAGAAACACTAAAAGCGATATCATGGATCCTAGATGCTTCTGTGAGATGTGATGTGCCTTCCAGATTAGGCTAGTATACCCGGAACGCCAAGGGAAGAGTAACAGGTGAGGGAGCCACACAAAGGAGCACAGATACCCGTGCATGGCAGGACTGTCCCCATGTCACAGTGACACCACATATGGGAAAAGAAACTATGGGAAAGAAAACTCATTCTGGAGTAAGAGAGCTTTCAACCCAGGAGGAGATTCCAGGGAAATGTGGACGCACTTCTCACCATACGGTTAGTGGATACCCCAACACCCAGGGCCACTTAACTAATGCAACCATGTGTGGTTCTTACTGGAGTGCTTCACAGAACTACATCACCCTCCTTTCTTTTTCTTTCCCTTTTTAATTTTGAGATTCTGTGGATCAAACCCCAAGGCTTGTTCATATTAGGTGAGCATCCTACCACTGAGCTATACCCCACCCATCACCCATCCCTCCTTTCCTACAAAATGAAGAATCATATGTACTCAGGAATATAGACCTAGTAGAAAAACTCTTTTGCATACATTCCACAATTGCCTTCTGATCCATCTGTGTGTGTGTGTGTGTGTGTGTGTGTGTTTCACATTGAACATGTACATTTTCAAACAAATAACCACATATATTCAAAACTTCACTAAGCTGTTTTGTGCCACAGAGTGTATATTTATACTGTTACAGTAAATTGAAATAACCTAGAAAAATCCCTGAGCAAACAAAGCTAGTTAGGCTTCATAAGTGACCTTAACCGTGTTTGATTTG